TGCCCAGTGGACCACTGCACAGTGGGGTCGGACATAGGGCCAAATGCTGAATGTTAAAGCCATGTATGAGTTGTAAAAACTGCTGCTACCACTACAGGTAAGCAAATCTGTGTTAGCATTAAAATTGCTTGCGGAGCTAAACAAATAAGCAGCAAAAATTGTTGAAATTATGAATAGAAATATGGAATATTTTCCTAAAGACGTGAATGACATGGCTATAGCCGTCTTGAAATATTAGCTTTATGTGAAGTGTGGATTGCCATCAGTAATCACGGGTAAACAGCTGTCGTCAATAAACATAAAGAACTGTTTGAGCGCAACTAAAGTCACAAATTAATGGCAGCTTGCTAACCAGCAATGTCTGACTGTAGTAAATGGTAAACTGAAAGCAGTCCAGAGACCAGACTGAAAAATGAGTTCAGCGTTTGTTGAACACATGTGAACATGAGAGGAGGGGTGGATGAAAGGGTTTAAAGCTGACAGACCTCTGGGGGGCATGAGTAGCTTTGGGTACACCACTGCTGTAAAAGAGACTTGTAAAAGGTAGTGTTGCCTTTTCTGATAGTAGATGACTAAATCCAAATGTTGTGCCTTTAATCATAGGAATGGTTGATGTATTCATTAAAATGACTAATAATATAATAAATTATCCACATTTGTATGGTGAAAAGCAGAGTAAGAAAAAGTCAGTTAACTGGTTTCACATTTGGATTGTTGTTCCAACAAAGAAGAAATATGAGCAAGTCATTCTTTGCCCTCACAACTTGTAATGCTTTTGTCATTTTTTATCCTTGCATCATTTTAATGGGCTAAATTATTAAAACACGAGTATAAAAATGACAAAGAATCTTTAGTTATAAAACAAAGTGTTACAAGTGGTCTGTGTTAAGAGTAATTAAATCATAAAGCCCTGCCATCACACTTTATCTGTCTCCATTCACATTGTGTTTTATGTTGCTGATGCAGTTAATGGTGACTGATGTGACTTTTGTGGCTCATCGAGAGAAGAAAAACAAGCAGACAATACACCGTTTACTCTCCAGGCATATTTAATTGGCACAGTAAACACAATACAAAGTATTCAGTGCTCCAAAACACAAGCATGGCCTACCGAATGGAACACAAACGAAAAAGTGCAAAAACACACCATCTGGTAGACCTTACAAAGGAAAAGAAGTCTTACTTTGCAAAGCAGATAAAGTAATGGTAAGACTCTCCATAGTTAAAATAGATGTTTTCCTTTTAAACTTTATTTATATACTCATATATATTTTCTCTAATTCCATCACGCCATTTCCACTGTACACGCGGGTTATTCTGGGGCATCGACAGAAAAGGTTTGTGGTGGTCTCGTGTCAGAGCAAAGCCTGCCCTAAAGCTACTGCTGCCTCATCGGATTTAATCATATCATTTGCCAGACATTGTTTGATCACCGTGATGTGTGAAGCGATGAGAGGGGCGAAAGCAAACGTGGTATTTGATTCAGCAGGGATTTGATCATTCCTTACATCGGCAGTCCAAATGATCAGTACGTCCATCATTCCTCCACACGGGGAGTGTTCATAAAATTCTGCATTAGACAAATATACGATGGCTTCATCCAAAACATAAAAACAATGTAACGGTTACTCATGTTTGCAGTTAAGGGATTTTAGTCCCATTCAGGTACAATAAGCAACAACATATCATTCCAGCTTTAAAAAAAGAAGAGAGGAGAAAAAAGGAAGAAAAAGAGAATCTTCACTCGTCATATATGAAACAGAAATGTTAAAAAATCACGTGCATTATGTGCCATTGAGCAGGGGGAATCAGTGGACATCATTTCTCTACCCTGACAGTTTCATGATTAGAAATTTGCCCCCTCGAGATAATCACATCTTCGTCTCCTCACCATACCACAGCGAACGTCAGCATCGTTCCTCCTCTCAGTGAAACCTGGTTAAGGCCCAAAACGGGTGATGATCGGCGTGTTGTCACATTTCAGTCAAAAACTCACAGGAAAACGATCACAGTATATTTTCATATACAGTAGACAGTAGGTGGAGCTTGTTACAAACATCGGGTGTAACTCATATCTTCATAGGTTTCATTTTTGGGTGCTGCTTGGACCAAGTGGAGCCACTTCCACAAGGTGATTAACTTTAAACTAGCAACTTGCATTAGACGCTCTGATCAAAACATAGCAAACTAACAATTCTCATACGTACTGTACTTACAAAAAACAAAACAACCTTGACCTATCTATGCATGAGATCATTCAGGAAAAAAGAAAAAAACAAAAAACATAATGACACTTTGGGTTCCTATCGTCCTTTTTTGTGATTAAACTACACAAATTTGAGATCACTTACTTTCTGTTAAAAACAGGGAAACATGCTTTCTGAACAGATGACTGAAAAAACATGTACGTAATTAAAAAAAAGAAGAAAAAAAAAGACCCACAGGCACCAAACCCAAACAATAGCATTCAGGTTAATTCAAACAGTATGACTAGGCAATGAGGGTTAACTGAACTTAAAGGCTGGAGGGAAGGGGCGTAAGCAGGCTTAACACCCCCACCGCCTCCTCCAACCCGCCAGCACAGGGGCGAGGAGGAAGACAGGGCAAGCATGCAGCACACCACAATGCTGAGGGACCCCCGCCCTGTTGCAAAAGAAAAGAAAAAACAAAAAAAGGCTTAAAGCAGCCAAGGGAGCTAGCCTGAGCCGCCATAGCCTGAGGGAGGGGGGAAGGGCTGTGGAGGTGAGGAAGGGGGTGGGGTGTGGTCAGAGAGAGGAACAGGCACCAGTGACAGAACAAGAAATGGCTGGATGGTATGGATGGTGGATGACACCATCATCTAGAGTTCTGCCCCTTCAGCTGGTCCTGGATATGTGGAAGTGATCTTGGTGAGGAGGAAAGTGGAAACTGTGACACAAAAGACCAACGACCACTGAGATCAAACGAACGTACATGAGAAGCACAGGACACAAAGACAGATGATTAGCACCTTCAGTTCTTCTGATTCCAGTTAAGTGAAACCTGCAAATACAGAGCTGATTTAAGTGGAAGGCGTGAGTATGAGCATCTTGTGGCGTCAGATGAAGCTGGGATGATTCTGTCTCGAGTCAGTGAGCGAGCGAGCGTTTCATCCACCTGCTTCTTCTGTCCGTCCGCTCCTGTCGGTCTCCGTCCTGTCTCTGACCACACCCTCCTTCATGTATGTGTGTGTGTTTGTGTGTCACAGGGCAAAGGGAAGGAAAAGAGAGAAGTGGCAGAGCCAGGGAAGCCAGCAGCCTCAGTCATGACCGCACATGGTGCGAGCAGTTAGTTTCATTAAAAAGCAAAGCGTTGCTGCAAACAACATAAAGCCGTTTGTGTACTGCGGCTGTGACTGCTGAATGGGGGTTAAAAATGGAGAAGTTATGAGCACTAAATTTTCGATGTGTTCTGTCTAAACTTTTTCTTTTTGTTTGTTTGTTTGGAAAATTCAGATGCGTTCTAATCGGCCGTCTCTCTTTCTTTTAGACTCAGGTCATCTTTCTCTCTGACTCTGTGAGCATGTGAGGAACGTGGTGGTTTCTCCGAGGCTGCTTGCCCTGCCATTCCTCAGCCAGCCTCACACTTTTAGGAATCTGTAATTCAAAAAGGAAAATACAAACAACAAAAAATAACAAAAAGAAGAGTTAGCTTTAAAAAGAAGTGAAGACCAACCCATATATTCAGATATGGAGAGGAGGTCATTGCATTAAATATGAGACTACATTAAACTGGTACTACTACTGTATCTCCAAGAAAGACGACCTGAATTAACACAAACATGTATCTGTTTAACTAAAACCACTGGGCTTGAATGCATGTTAGAATGAAATAGAATGAAAATAGAAATGTACTATCACAACACGCTGTAATCCTGTTACGATAAAACTCCCACAAACGCCACAGCACACACCGAATTTCACAATTTCTGTGTGTTAAACCTGATGTAGAGTTACACCTCGCACATACGGCCATGCTATGGCTGTAACAAATCTTCAAAACTGATACAAGGGACCCTCCAACTCCCAAAATCATACTATATCTGGCCTGTAGTACTATTTTTAGATCTGTGGTGTCAAACATAAGACCAAGGGTCCAGAATCGGCCTGGCAAAGACTTCTAACCAGGCCCACTGGACAGCTTTGGAAATTTCTTTATAAGTTTTCCAGCTTAATCTTTAATGATAAAAAACAGCCTATAACTATTCACACTACACTAAAGTAATTAGGTTATAGAAAAAAAATGAAATGACAGAAACGTTTTTTGGTTTTTTTTAATGTGTATACAGTAAAAAAAAAAAAAAAAAAAGGTATTTTCTGTGAATTAACAAAAGAAAAATGCTATTAATTACAGGGCAGCCAATGTGCTACACCTAAAACTTTTTCTGTAATTTGTTTCTTACCATTTAAGCCCAAATAGTCATTCTAACAGATTTCTGTCATTTACTACAGCAGCTTTTCTTTATTATGTACAAAAAACTGAGATGTCCCGTTGAAATTGCACCTTATTTTAAAAAATTATATTAAGATATCTCAAAGTTTAAATGTGTAATTTGACTTTTTTTACACTTACAGAAAGGGGAGTAGAATGGGCTATATGTGGTCCACAGTGTGAAATGCTTTTGTCATCCCTGATCTAGACTGTTTTGGTGCGAGCAGATTTATGTAAAACCCGTTTACCTAAACTGTCTCACTGGGCATTCATAGCAGAGTGACAGCATGTACGATCGTGGCTCAGGAGTTAGTAGTTCGTCTTGTAATCGGAAGGTTGCCGGTTCGAGCTCGGACAGTCTCGGTCGTTGTGTTCTTAGGCAAGACACTTCACCCTACTGGTGGTGGTCAGAGGGCACGGTGGCGCCAGTGACTGGCAGCCTCGCTTCTGTCAGTGCGGCTGTGGCTGTAGCTACAATGTAGCTTGCCATCACCAGTGTGTGAATGGGTGGATGACTGAATGTGGGGTAAAGCGCTATACAAATACAGGCCATTTACCATTTACATCAATGGTGCCCCCCTCTGCTAATGTTAGCTAGCTGCATGGTTTTTACAGTTAGTGGATGTAGTTGCACAGTAAGAAAATAGCACTAGAGGCCAGAGGGAAAATGTGTAAATTCTATTTTGAGGTGAGTTGTGTCTTTAAAAGAGTGAGAGTTAAACAAAGGCTCTGGTATGATTTTTGAGAGAGCCCTGATCTTGGAAAAGAGTAACAGAGCAGTGAAACGACCTAGAGGCTACACACACCATGCTTTTAGTGTAAACACTTCAGAGACCGATGCAAACAAACCACAAAGCTTTAGAGTCATGACCAGCTCCATATCCCAGCTCAGCCTCACCATACATAGTTTACTTCAGCTAATACTTCAGTCCTTTATTCTTTTACCACTGGCCTGCAAAAAAGGACCAGAACAGCCCAACACTGTCATTATCAAAAGGTGAATTTAGAAAAAGGAAACATTATAAGGCGGCTATTAATGTTATTAAACTGGACAATATTTAAAAAAAATGACCCCTTACAGGGGAAAATAACTTGTTCTTGTTGTAACAACACTGTAATTTATCTAGAGCATGCAACACTTGAGAGGCAGCAGCATGATTTTTAATCTAGTTTAACCTACAAAAATATCTCTTGATATGTCTTCATACTGTACAGCTGATTTAAATTACATTTGCTTGATTGCACATTGAGCATTCTTTCTTTTTAGGTACGTCAAGTGACCAAAACACAATAACGTCTAAAAATGTAACTTTGAGTTGATGGTCACTGCCTCTTCACATGGTGCTTACATTCACTCAGCTGATTTATCACCACACAGATTCAGCTTTGGCCACAGTTCTGGCTCAAAGTCTTAATTAACAGTGTTTTTATTTGAGTAGAATATTGTTATTCAACATTTTAAAACCTAAAAGAAAATCAAATACTGAATGTCTCAAATATACAGGTGATCACTGTTAGGTGCTGATTTGCGCCATCATGAGCTTTGAGTGTGCCATGTTTTATTTTCAATGACCACTAGGTGGCACTGCCGTGAATAAGAGAGGCTTCACCTCAAACACTTCTTAGACATGATATCTGATTGGCACAGCTCACGCTACCAGAAACAACTTTTCCTACTGTTATGAGGCACAATGGACAAATCCGATTGCTCCTTCTTTGTGGAGCGGTGTGAAGTGTCTGTGTGTGTGTGTGTGTCTGAACTAGCATCTATAATCTCTGTAACTTGCCCCACTCGTTCAGCACGTGAATGGAATACAGAGTAACAAAAACTGTCATAGCAAGAACTTGCTGAGTTAAATGTATGTCATAGCACCTTTGGCATTCGTTTCCAAAAACACTTCAACGTAGGATGTGGGCACGTATCCCTCCTCATCCTCGTTCCTCCGCACGCGTGTCCAGCCATCTCCTTTGTCTTCTTCTATGACGTACAACAGCTCACCCTCAGCCACGGAGATGGTGCCCTCATTGTGACCTGCAGGAGAGAACAGCCGCAAACCAACAGAAGATAAGAACGCTGGCTTTGTATATTAATAGGAACCATGTTGATTAGTAGCGCACTTTGAAAATCAGAGATGCAAGAAAAGAGGAAGCAAAACCAGATGCTGTACAGCAGGGATATAGTCAGAGACTACTTGTAGAAACTCCACAGGCACTTTAACATGTCCTGAGTCAACATATATGAATAAGCACAGGTAGTTTTAACAATTAGTAGTGCTTCATGTGATCCACCCATTTTAACAGAAATTCTAAATTTAATCTATTTCTGAAAAGTAAACATTTATGGATACATTAGTTAGGAAAGTGTTACTCAGTGTAAGCCCCTCTTATTCAGTTTTGGAGCTGGGGGGCTGGGGTTGGGGAGCCAAGATGTTTGAGGCCCTACAAAAAACCATAACCAGATAATTAAGGGAATACAACTCCAAGATGAACGTTATTGTGTTACAGTTTATTTGTTTTTTGTGATGTCGTTATGTGGTTAAACTTTGCTGCTTTGTTAAATGTTGTGCTTTGCTCAAGTAGATCTCAATAGACCAGATTCCAGTAAGTTTAATCTTTTACGCTGCACTTGCGTAACACAATTATGTGGAAACCTTATCTGTAATCAAATTGCTTTTTTGAGAGTACACTCCTTTTTTACTTTTGAACAAATGTTTGAGTATGAAGGTTTTATGCCAAAACACAAGGTATACAGGGCGGTGAGCTCTCTGGAAATATGTGTAACTGTAATTCATTTACGTGACTGTAATCTGCAACAGTAGGGACTGGGGTTATTCCTGGGACTTTTCTCTCATTTCTTGTTGCCAGTAGGGCGGGTAGCATTTGGTTATGTAGCCTTGCTGAAAGAAAAACCCTCCAGAATGACTGCAGTATTACAGAATTACTTTATTACTGCTATTCTAATATTCATGATTATGACTCATCAAAGGTCTTACACAACTGAAAAACTAGTTTAACCTATACAATGAACCACAATTTCACCGTTAACCCAGCAATCGCTACAGCTAAAGTAAGATAGATCTTTACCGCCTCTTTATATGCACTGAGCTTTATGTTTAGCAGCTTTGAATAATTTTCCAAATTTGATTTTGAAATAGTGCAACTGAGAAATGAGTGTATTTTTATTCATACTCCTCCACACATTTGAACACAAAGATCGCATCCCTACTCCTCCTCCTCATTCAGAGGAAACAAACTCCTCCACCCGTTTTCCATCAGACTCAGGTTCAGCTTATTTCCAGAAATAACGGGACCTCAGCAGCAGCCACCAGCCAACGAGCAGGCTTCATACTTACATTGACCGTTTTTATTTTAAACCAATGTGGCTGCAGTTACCTTCGAAGGGATACAAGGCTTTGCAGGTGCCGATGGTAGGCAGGACCTCCTCATCATCAAACTCGTCATCGAACTCCGTCGTGGTGGTTGGGGTGGGGATGGGTTGGGCTTTGACCTGAACCTCTGAATTCTGCTCCTCTGTGTAGCTGCCATCCGGGCTGCTCAGGGGCCAACACACACACAGTAAATATACTGTGAAAACACACATCGATTTCTTCCCAAAAAGTCATGTGTGTTACAAACTCTGGGTTCTGTGGCTGCTTTTTGCCAAAGTATACCATACCTCTCTCTGTCCTGTGCACAGTTGTTGCTCACTGTTGTGCTATTCTGGGTCTCATAGAGTCCGCTTTTCCGGTGTGAATCACTCTTAGACGGCATCCTCTCCTCCACCTCTGCTAACCAGCCCTGAAACACACGCAATCATTATTTGGCTCTAGCTTTTCATTTTTATTACATGACAACTTGGACGAATGACAACTTGAGGAATTCTTTTTATCTGTGATAACTTTACATTCGGCAAGGACCTAGCACAGAACGAACACCTCATCCTTGCATTCCCCCATTTATTTACACGGTTAAACCAGGCCATTGTTCTGGGACTCCTCTCTCTGCACAGAGAACATGGAACATGCAGCCAATCCCTGCAGCTGCCTTGCATCTTCTCCTAATATGGATAAGCGACAGTCTTCTTTGGAATTACCCCAGCTGGAGATGTGTGTCTGAGCTCCTCATTATTTACTGTTTCAGATAAACCAAACAACACAGCCTTGCCAACATTAACACTCAAAAAGGAATAGGGGCTCAGACAGACACTGAACTTACCTCAAATTTCTGTACTTCAGACTGGAGCTTCTCAATGTTTTGACCTATTTCTGTTAGCCGGGGGTCCACACTGGCCGGGTCTCCCATCTGAGGGTTCTTTATATACACGTCTTTCATCTTAGTCAAAGCATCTCTGGAAGAGCAAGTATTTGTAAGTCTTTGAGGCTTCAGAACAGAATGGAAAGATTTATAACGCTAGATTAAAACCCCTCTGAATACCTCTGGTCCATTTCTTTTTGTATGTCTTTACTCAGCTCATCGATCTTGCCCTGCAGCTTCTTCCTCCTCTGCTCTGGCGGCAGGTGACTGAAGTCCTCCGGTGCAGAACCCTGAAAAAAGAAAAAAATCACACCATGGAAACTTTTTTAAAAACTCAAAGAAAATAACCAACTTCAGTGATCCTTTTTGTGCCTTAGCAAGAATCAGTTTTTGATAGGTGCAGTATCTCTCTCTGGTTTTGGGGTTTTTTCTATTTATTTTTTTTAACCCTGTGAAACAAGACTCAGGGATAAATGGGTATCAGGGTAAATAAATGGAGCTCCTGTTAGGCTTTAACTGAATCACTGAAGGAGATACTGCAGCCGCTCTCTAACACACTCTGTGATATTTAGGATGTTTAGCTCTGTAGACTTGAGGCCTTTCACCTATTCAGTCGCCACACCTAATTTAGAGCTCTGTAAATGCAACGGAAATGTAATAAAGTTTTGGCCACATCCTTTCATTGCATATAGTGTTTCAGGGTCAGCTAGCTAATGGATCTGTTCTCTGACAGGAACGGCTCTTTCTTAAAATGAAGGTTATATGAGCTGCAAGAGGTTGGCTTGACAGGAGTCATGTTTCCTGCTGAGACTGTAATACTGAATAGAATGAGTCATGCTGCTCCGCTGCCTCTCAGTCTTTCTGTAAACATCTGTAAACAAAGCATCAAAACTAATAAATAAATTGATCAGTAAGGATAAGGTAATTAACTAGCTGCTTCTGTAAGTCTTGGAATAACTCAGAAATGTTGGTGCTGCAGTACAGCTTACTTGATACATGGTTTAATTTTTTGGACCCTATATATATATATACTGCGTTCAAGCTACTATTGTTGTTTAAAAACAATTGACTATCCATAGGTTTTAATGATAGGATTTCGCAATAAGATGCAATGAGGCCTTTGTTTTATATTGTTACTCCATTTGGGGCAGCATTGTGGTTCAGTGAGTTTATGATTAGCTGGAAAAAAAGAACGAAAATAGTGACATATCGGCAGAAAATCTTTGAACTGTGTGGACTGAAGAGGTCAAGGCCTGTGATTGGATCTCATTGAGATGGGTCACAGTGGCACCACAGGAAATAAATGCTGGATCTACAGCCTGGAGGTCAGGATTCACATCACATGAGCCAGATAGTTACCACGGCAACCTTACCCCTTCTCCCCGTATCAGCATGCAACACTTAAAGGCATGCAACACAACAAAGATCTGTCAGTCAGCATGCAGGCATGTCATGCTCTCGTATCAGTGAAACATCACAGTACAGAAATGACTCATTAGTGTTTACGTATCCACGTATCCTCAGACTAGTGAGGCACTACGATCTAAATGTAAATTTATTCTACGTGATTAAATTTAATCAATAAACAAACTAAAACTATATGCAGGCATTTAGTAACTTGATGTTGTAGTCAATAAAGTTGAAGTTTAGTTGAAGTTGAAGTTCAAACTGATCAGTCTTATTTGACTCAGGCACTGACGTACAAAAACAAACCAAGCATATGCTGTAAAATGTCAACATTTAAAAAAAAATTTTTAAACTGTTTAAAATTTGCGAAAATGCACTTGTTGACTTTCTTTTCAGAAAAGAAACTCATGTCTGTACAAATATGCTTAACATAAAGACTGGAAGGACAGGGAAACGGCTGTCCAGAGGGGAAGATCTCCTTTCTGCCTTGCATGAAGGGCGATACTCTGATGTTATGTTACATCAACTACTTCTTCTTTGAAGCTATGCACCATCCCATCAACACTCCCCCTGTGCAAAGCAACTTACAAATCAACATGGAGAGACACGACTCGGACTCATGTGGATTTTTGAAAATGAATTTTGCTTAATTATCCACTTAAAGCTTTTTAGTTTTGTTTGCCGGAAACACAAAGAGATTCTCTCTGATCCGCTTTGATACTAAAGGCGAGTCACAGGCAAAGCAGGCAGGCCATTTCTCCAACGGGGATATACCAGTTAGCCCTAAAAACAGATATGAGTTTCTCGTCTTATTGCCAATACCTAATTAGTCCATTTTGGGGGTTTTTTCCCACATATTTAAACAGGTAAAACAGATAAAGTACTGTTAGAGAACTTTTAGGTTTTTCTGCATAAAGCCAGGACAGCTGTTTCCCAGTACTTCCAGTGTGTATCACTATTATCCCTTAACACACCATAAAGTGAATGTTTCAAAATATGAAAAGGATTCCCAAAAGTATTAAACAATTTCACTAATCCTTATGTTTTGAGGAAATCCTCGCTAGTGTTAGATTTACAAACCACACACAAAAATATCAATAAATCAATAAATGGAACCGAAGTGGCATGCAGTGTAAGGACAGGAGCTCGCTTTCTACAGATCGGCAATTAGTATATGTTACAGGGACATACAATCAGCTGAGACAAGAAGGACTACGAGACAGACTAAAGGACAGACAAATAAAACACAGAGTAAATCTGATCACCTCAATGAGATTCCGGACGTGGGAATTGAGTGTGATCTGCATCACAGAGACCACAGACACATTTTGGGAGAGACAAAATGGGAACACAATCACAACATAAAAACAAACAAACAAACATAACACAAAAATGAGACAGCGACGTGAGTCTCAGGTCCATTGTTGTGTTACAGCAAAACTTAATTAATAATTAAATTAGATCCAAAACAAATAAAATGAGAAAAAAAAGAGCACACCAAAAACATATCAGCGTACAGAACGTTATTAAGACTGTGTTACTGGGACGACGTGACATGCGTGCTATGGTCATGCCGCTACGGTCGTGCAGTTATACGGTCATGCTTACCAGCTTGAGAGAAAGCTTCATGGGGGGAGAAGAGAGAAAAATGGCGAAGAGCAGGAGAGAGAAACAGACAACAGATAAAAGTCAACATGAGGATAATTATGGCCATTTGTTTTATTTTCCTTTCAACAAAAATAGTTTCCGTGATTTTTATAATAATGTTTTACTCTGCCAGACTTCACCATAAAAGGAAAAGAGGGTAAAGTAGTTAAAACTTCAAGAATCTGATTTATATACTAGCTGTGTAATTACAAAAAAAGCTCTATCAGAAACGATTTTAGCTACTAAGACCCCGCTCTTTTTTTTCATGTGGTGAAGTTTAACATTTCTAACATGATGAATTCATGAGAAATGGGAAGAAAAGTTGGCTAACAGGCCAACTTACTGCAAAAGCATGAAGTCACTGAGAAAAATTAAGGGAAGACAGATGCAAATTAAGAAGTAGAGGGAGAGTGACAACGACGACAGAGGACAATGTACCCTTTACTTCTTGATCCCGCTCTGCTGCCTACACAATGACACACAGGGCACAGCAGAGGGCGCCAAAAGCATGTTACCACATTAGCAGGTCCATATGTTGATATGGAGGCAGATACTGTACACAGACAAACTGGAGAGATGCTTTCAGAAACCAAATATTCACACTCGTGAAGAACAGCTTAGAAATAGACGGGTCTCTAAATTTTGCAAACTCAAGTGGCTCAGTGAAAGCCAAAAATTAAAACAGCGATAGAATTTGGCGAGGGACTTTGGACAGGATATGGTTCTGAATACAAAGAACAGAGCAGGTTAACAACAACAACTGGTTGGTAGAGCCAGAGCAGATGACTTGTAATCCTGTTAAAAGGTCACA